TTTTCCACAGTGTTAATTCAAACCAGGTTTTATTTCTGCGTTGTTACTTTGGAAAAGTTTGTGATTTTATTCTGCTTGCAACTTATCTTCATGTCAATGGATCCTTTTGAAGTTTTGTTTACAACGCATGTGGTTTGCTTTGTTTCAAAGTTGTTCACGTTTTTAACGGAACAGATACTTCTGGTTACCAAGATGTTTTTTATTTGTTTTGTTGCACTGCCTGCTAAGAGACTGGATGGAGGCAAGCTGTTATGATGCAGTTGTTATGAGGCAATTGTTATGAGGCAGTTGTTATGAGGCAGTTGTTATGAAGCAGTTGTTATGAGACGGTTGTTATGAGACAGTTGTTATGAGGCGGTTATGAGACAGTTGTTAATAGGAAGTTGTTATGAGGCAGTTGTTATGAGTTAGTTGTTATGAGGCAGCTGTTATAAGGCGGTTGTTATGAGGCAGTTGTTATGAAGCAGCTGTTATAATACGGTGGTTATGAGGCGGTGGTTATGAGGCGGTTATGAGGCAGTTGTTATAAAGCAGTTGTTATGAGGCAGTTTTTATGAGGCTCTTGTTATGAGGCAGTTGTTATAAGGCAATTTTTGTGAGACGGTTGTTATGAGGCAGTTTTTATTAGGCAGCTGTTATAAAGCAATTGTTATAAGGCAGTTGTTGTGAGGCGTTTGTTATGAGGCAGTTTTTATTAGGCAGCTGTTATAAGGCTGTTGTGATGAGGCCGTTGTTATGAAGCAGCTGTTGTAAGGCAGTTGTTGTGAGGCGGTTGTTATGAGGCAGTTGTTAATAGGCAGCTGTTATAAAACAATTGTTAAAAGGCAGTTGTTATCAGGTAATCAACTCACTGCGTCTCCAACCTCACTTCTATGCTTTCTTTCTTTCTAATGACTTACAAACGCTGCTTTAGGTATGGTTTTTTTAAATATTTTTTTACTGAGTTTTATTAACTTGAACACATTTGCAAAATAAATGAACAAAATTATTTTGATAAGTGATTAGCAAATAAAAAAAAAACTTCTGTTTGTGCTGCGATAGGCACGCATTATTCAGGTAGATTTGTAGGCTTGCTTTTCACATGTTTTTGCAACTTAAGTCGAAGAATAACTAATTTTTATGTGCAATTAATTCAATTTCATTTTCAAAGCATCGTGTTAGAACATTTGTTAACATTTCTGATAGAACAGTCGTCATGAAAGAACTGTTTCGGTCAGCGGTGATGTTGAACGGGATGAACAATTTTGCAAAGTAGTTTCCATTCAAGCGACAAAATTGAATGAATGCATTGCTGTTGCTCCGTTGACAAAAAAACGATTTCAAAAATTTTTTAGGTTTAAATCAATTTGCAATGTCAACCTTAAACGGTGGTTTTACGAGTGTTTTCACTACTAATTTGATTTTTGAAGCAAACCAATAGTCCAAAAATATGTTATTTTCAGAAAAATTAAAAAAAATTTTTTTTTTTAAAGTTGAGAATGCAATAGCAATCAAGCTCAAAATACAAAACTTGTTTTTAAATTGAAGACATTTCTGAAACAATATAATGTAACACTATATATAGCTGGTTGCTTGTTGTTGTACATGCAGCGAGTTTCGTAACATCAAAACACACACACACACACACACACAAACAAACACACACACGCCTGAACTTTTAGAGCAGACCATAAATAGAGCAAGCGAAATTGTTATAATTACATTGATATACGTTGATTAGCCCCATATACAATGCTCAAGAAGTGTGATGTTTATGTTCTCTAGGGTTCCTTACCATTACATTCGTTCATTCGTCAGTAGTAAGACCAACAAAATATTTTTATAAAGAGGAGCTCACATTAACTCTTGCAGTGCAGAACAGCAATTCTGTTTTGCTTTGGTTTGGTTTCGTCTTTTTGCTTACGTAAGTCTAGCTGCAAAATATAAACTGCAACCACACAAGAAATCGTCTAACAACTAAGGAAAGTTGTAATCGATAACATTGTTCTAACCTTTTAAATGATGAATGTGTCTATTTTGTTGTGTTGCCTAGTGCATTCAAATATGTTGATGGACTGGCTTGCTATTTTTTTGCATGTTGTTATGCTGTTGTCCTGTTGTTGTTGTGTAAATGTTTGTTGTTTGTAATGTTGTTGTTTTGTTATTCTTATTTTTTCTTTTATTGTTTTTTTTTGTATCCGTGAAGATAAAAACCCGCGGAGCTGATCAATCTAGAAATTTAATTCTACTTGATTGAATTGACATGTGATAGTTAGCTTCTTTTTTTGACGAAATTAAATTTATTTTATTTTCTTTTAATGCAAACTAAATTAGCTAGAAAGGTTTTACATGTGAAATAATTGGTTCAATTTTCACTTAAATAAGACAGCATGTATAAATAAAATTTCTTACAACTTTTTAAATTAAAAAACTCTTTTGTCGAAATATTTCTCCAAAGGTTGGTAAAAACTATTTTGCCGAAAAATTATCCATTAAGGGTTCATAAATAATTTGGCCACTCCAGAATTTCTTGTGTCAGTGACTTTGATTCGTAATTAATGCATTAGTTTTAGTTTGCAAAGTTTTATGTTGCAAAAATGATAAATTACTTTTGTTGAAAATGTATTTTAAAAAATGACCAAAATTAAATTGGTGCAGTAGTGAACTGGAGACATCTATCACGTCCATCCATGCAAACGTCATCTCTCAAAAAATGTTCTTCTCGTTTCATTTTAGTTACACGCTATCCACATTTCCATCCAAACATTATTCATTCATAACTGCACATCCCCATTTTTTCGGCATTGCTATTTTCTCATGTGTCTCAAAACCACGAACGATTTAAAATTTGTTTTAAACTTTTATTTCCAATGAAAAGAATTCTATACAGAGTTTATTCGCATGGAGTAAACAAAACAGGCAGTTTAATCTTTTGAATAAACAGTGTCGCAAGGAAAATCCATTTACATTGTTTAATATCAGTGATCTTGGTCCCATGCTCAAACACACACACACACACATCAACATTCACACACGCGTTCACGAAAACTGACATGCAAACCACTAACTCATACATACATATATTATATATATTATTAACCAACCCAAACATTATATAAACACTAGGAACGGTTAAAATTGTTATGATGAATATATATACAGCATCTGAAATGATTGGACAGGATGCATGTTCGGATGATGGATTAGCTTTGCAAATTTGAAAATATTTAAAAAAAAACTCAAAAATATCTCCTCATATTTCTCAGCATGCTGCAACTCTTAACATGCATCTTACATAACTTCAAACAAATCATAGAGGTGCTATAACAAGTTTTGAAAACAAAAAAGAGACATCAGTGAGTGTAGGCAGTCATTGATTGCTACGTCGTTCAGCATTTGTGCCCATTATAAATCCAACGCATTTCGTCCTGCTGGCACGTTTCATTCATCTGCATTCCCCTGGTTAGCAACCGTTCGAGCTTCCCAATCCTTTATTCATCAACAGGCTCATTCGGACTGGTTGCCACGTGTTGATGTGCTCCAACGTGAGGGCCACACAAGTTAAGGTTCGGAAGGTTTAACGGGATGAGATTGTCATTAAGTGAAGGGGTGATGTTGTAACTTGATGACATGAAAAACGTTCGAAAGTTGAAAACAAAAAATTTACCGATAGCCAATTAATTTACAGTCAGTCAAAAAACTACGTGAGTGATGATTTGTCTAAAACTGAACAGTATTTTATGGTATTCATGTTAATTAATTAACGCAATTATTAAGAATGATGAAAAAACATCATTATAAACATTAATTTATATTTCTTGATATTTTTATTAAAAATAATGGCTTCAAATTAACAATAAATAATAATTAAAATAATAATAACAATAATAATAAAAACAACACAACAACATCATCAACCAAAACCACATTATAATTAATAATTATAATATTAGTTACATTAAAAAGAATAATACACTATTAAAATAAAAGCAAAAATAAAAGTGACGAAAAAAACATTTTAAGGATGACAGAGGAGCAACAAAGTTTACAACTCGTTGTGAAAAAAACGAACATCATCCTCATCAATTCGGATGTGATTAGACCCTGGAATCGAGGGCAGACTCTAGATCATCGGCCACCTCCCTGTACCTCACCCTCCTCCACCTCGGTGAAAAACACTTGATCGTGTAGACTGACGTCCGAAACCTCCAAGCCACGAATATCACTGTCATTCCTATAAAAATTCCCGCCAATGTTGTCAGGCAGAAAACCGAAAAGTATTTTATCGAACCGGTTTTCGCTGAATAACTGTTGATATCTTTGTCCCTATCGAGATTTTGATACTGTAACGACGACGGTAGCATACTGTCAATGTTTGAAACGTACGAATCGTATTTCTGCTGCGTTCTGCTGTTTATATCAAAACAATTGTCTAATTCAGGACGGTATGAAAATAAAAAATTCTTATCGTCGTCACTGTTGTCGTTGATATAAGCGTAGTTACTCGAGAGGAAATTTTGCTGCTGCTGTTGTTGCTGCTGTTGATTTGACAGATCGTAATGACATTTGTAGCTATCCGTTTCCACTTCTTTGATGATCCTCACCCGAGTTTCGTTGGCCCAGCGCAGGAATGGGACGATGTTGCAGTCGCAATTGAATGGGTTTGAGCTGATATCCAATTCTTCGAGACTGAGCATGCCGTCCAGTATTGTGACGTCAGCTGTCGTCATTCTGTTGTTGGAAAGAATCAGTTTGACTAAACTTCTCGCACAGTTGACGCCAGTGTTTTTCACGTCCGTAAATTTGTTGTCTCTCAAGCTGACTTTCAAAACGTTCCTTAATGGTACAAATGTCTGACACGTCAGTTTTGTTAGTTCGTTTCCTGATAGGTCCAAGTTTTTAAGCAGTTGTAAATTTGTGAATGGTGATATGTAGTTTGGATAATTATTCTCATCGCCGTTGTTAATAATAGTAACATCGATGTTGTTGTTATTGTTGTCGTTAACGTCGACGTTACTCCATTTGAAAAGTTTGTTGTAAGCCAAATTTAGGCTTTGCAGGTTGTGAGTCTGTTTGAATATTTGAGAATCAAATGTAGATATGTTGTTGTAGCTGAGGTCAATGCCGGTAATTGTTTGGTGGAGGTGCTCGAAGGTGTTCACGTCCAAACTGGAAATGCAATTGTGCGAGGCATCAATTTTCGTTAATCTGTTCAGTCCGAAGTTACTGAGCGATGTAATTTTATTGAAGGAAATGTCCAATGTAAGCATGATCGATGACTGCTTAAATGCATTCCAATCTAAGCTTATGATGTTATTGTGACTCAGGTTCAAAATTTGCAAATTTCTTAAACCAACTAACCAATCTTTTGGAATTGATTCCAACTTGTTGTAACTCAGATCAAGAGTTTCTAACGTGTACACTCCTGTTACGTTAATGTATTTCAATTTGTTGTCTTGCAGATACAGTCTTCTTAATTTTTTATGGAACGCTAAATTGTTCAACTCAGCCAGTTTGCCAAATTCCAAATGCAAAGTTTCTAAATTAGTAAGTTGTGCAAACAATTCCGGTTCGATCCACTCGACGTCGCAGATGGAGAGGTCGAGGATTGCTAGATGTTTAAATGGTCCCAACATCTCTCCAGTTATGTTTGGCAGTGCAATTTCACTCAAATCCAACCTTGTGAGCGTGTTGTAGTTTTCCTTAACATCCTTTTCTACGTCGTCATACATTTCAACGTACATTTCGTCGCTTTTATTTTCTTTTATTTTATCCAAATAATCGGTATCTTTGTTAGTGTTTGAGTTTTTTCTGCCAAAATTGTTTGAAAAAAATGAATCATTGTTATGTACGATGTTTTGTGTGGAGAGGTTCTTTTGTAAATCTTTCAGCTTATCTGAATTGGTAGTCGTCGTATTCTTATTTTTTGCGAAACTTTTTAATATCGAACAAACGTCAGCAGGACTCAACAAATTATTCGCAAGCGACAACGAACTGAGGCCGTTTAAACCATCAAAACTGTTAGGCTCAACACCTGTTACTCCACATTCAGCCAGGTTTAAAATTTCTAACGAAGTAAAACTTAATGGTTTCAAATCGTCTTGTGAAATCCAATGAATTTTGTTGCGGCTCAGATCTAAATGCTTGAGAAATTTCAAACTTGAGTAGGATTCGTCGACAGCAACAATTTCGATTTCGTTGTAACTAAGATTGAGAATTTCTAAATTTGGAGCAAACGCTGACAAAAACTTTGGGACGATTGCTAACAAATTTAAACTCAGATTGATTTCTTTTAAATTTGGTAATCGGCATGATTTATTTAATGTACTGTCGTCAATATTTTGATCATGCGAGTTGTTGTCCTGGATGTTCTGGTCACTATTGTACGAAGTTACGACAAATGATTGGATTCTATTTCCTCCTAGATCAAGCTCCTGCAATTTCATGAGACCGCAGAAGGATGCAGTGTCGACATGACTGACCTCGTTCCTCTCGAGAACAATCAGCAGCAATTCAGGAGCACTTGAAAATGAATCGAGCGCGATGTGCGATACTCGGTTATCTTCGAGGTACAACCTTTTTGTATTGAAACTGAAGGATGGAAGAAGGTTGAGACCACGATGGCTGCAGTCAATCGTCTCGTCGACGTTGAAACAGTCGCACTGAGTGGGACATTTGTAAGTTGTGCGAGGAGGTATGTAAATTTCCGACGGTGATGCTGTTGTTGATGATAAAATTGTTGATGTTGACGATGTTGTTGTAAGCGTTGACATCAATTGTTTAGTCGATGATGGATTTGTTAGCGAGTGTTCAACTGATAAGAAGACCGATGGTTGTGTCAAATACTCGTACTGTAAATTTGAAGCCAGAATAGTATTCGGTGTTAGTTTTGTTGTTGACTTTAGTTCTACGGATTTCGAAATTGGATGGTTTGAAATTGAAGTAACATGCCAACGAGTAATTGAAGTTTCAGTGGGATGCAAGAACCCATTCAGGGAGATTGTTGTTGTTGCATTAGATTGAACAATAGTTGGAAACGTGCATGTCGCCATCAACAGCAGCAGCAGCAGCGGCGGCAGCAACCACAAATACGAAACAGACAATAGAATCTTGCACATTGACGACGATGAGTAATAATGAGAAGATGACCTGAGAGATGGCAGTTTGAATGCAGTGCAATCATTCATCTGACACGCGCTCTGTCGTCATCATCTTTCTAAATGTTGACTTATTGTTTATTGCTTGGATTTGCCCGTTATGTTTACCTGTCTGAAAATATTAATACAATGTTAGATACCGGGCAATGCATGTTTGTTTGATTATAGGATATTTTTATAGCGATTGCATGTGAGATGTGCATTGATGAGTTAGCATTATTTCTGAGGCCTCATGCTTTTCATCCAGCCAGCACGTTGTTTACGTCTCATAAGTTCTCCAGCATTGCGTGATAGTATATACTTAGGCGCTCATAATTATAATTTGATAAATGCCCTTTAACGAAAATTGGTGATGTTCTCAGCGTTATTCTTGATAAATAATTAAATGCTTTTTCTGAAAATTTACCATCATCAAGTTTTATAAACAATTTATGTTCAAACAAAATTTTTTAACAATAAGTATTGGTTGGCAACCTTAAATAAACATTTCGTTGATAGCCTCATTCAGTGGAGATATTTTTCATTCAAGCTCATTGCTTCAGAACTTTGCTATAAAAACGTTCACTTATGTCACAATTATGCAGTAATAATTGCACTATTTTATTAATTGCGGTTTTATTAAAATATATGATGTATAATAAAATATTAGATCAGTAGAGCAGAATCATTACAAAACTAAAAAAGCAACAAATTTAAATTTAGACATTTCTCATTTGTACATAAGAATGAACTTATTATAAGTAAATGTTTTTAATAAATTTTATTACAGCACTTAATGTGTTGTAAAACTTAACTAACGTAAATGCGGTAAAATCCATTACGAATCCATTTAAACAAATGTTCAAACATCAAGGACCAAACCTTCAAAACAAGAACTGAATCGACTGAACAAAATAAATTAAAAATAATTAGAAAGAAAAAGAATACAATTCATGATATATTTAATAAAAGAGCAATTTATCAACTGCGAGGGAGCACAATGACCATGTTCAGTAATGAGAACCTACGCAAGAAGCGAAAATGCCTAAAAGCTGCCCCAGGCTTAATTAATTTTGTCGCAAGGTGGAGCAGTTGGAATTATAACATGAAAAATGACCAGGCCATCGTCAACCGGGCCAGCACAGTATTTATTTGAAAACAACAACAGCAGCACAACCATGCATTAGATGCTCGTAATGTTGTAGGACTAGCAAAATCAAAACTGAGAAGTTTATTGCTTCTAAGAAAATTATTTTGGGCACATTTTAAAACTTATTTTTTCTGAATTGAACAACAATAACAACTTGTATGATAGCACGCTCTTCCATGCAGATCAAATCTATGCTCATGCTGAAGCTGGCCTATGATAATAATTCTCACATAAGTGAAATTCGTGCATGCATCATAAAGTCCAGTGATCGAAAATCAATTAAATAACCTTGTACAACATAGAGCAATAATATTGTATACAACGTGCTAGAATTTTAATTAAAAACATCTGGGGAATTTTAATGCATCGAGTTTCAAGTTTGATAAATCCTTACCTTTTTAACCTTTTCAAAAATTTTGGCCATACAGAATAAATTGCATAAAAATGTTTTTGTTGAAAGTTTTTATTTGAAGCTGCTACCTTCTCTGCTACTAAATAAACTATTCATCATCCCACACGTGAAAGAAACATAAGGAGGAGCGTTGGACTGACAGTGCGTTTGAATCCATATGATACGTTCGCTTGCGACCACTTTGATTTATTTTGAAAGCAAATTTAACCTGCTGAAGGAAAAGACAAGTAAAAATTTAAAACAATTATTTTATTTCACGAGAAAACAATTTAACAATAAATTGTAAATCAATAAAATAAAATAGAATTGATTTACGAATATGACTAAAAAAATTAATATAATTTAAAACTTTGAAACTTGGAGCAAGAACCATGCAGCGTGCACAGGCAAACATTGTTTATAATAATATTCGGAAAAACTTAATTTCTACACGTTAAAAGTCACCAAAACTGCTAGTTTTATTTAGACAGTAAGTAAAATAAAAATTAAGAAACTTTCAAATAGCACTTTAAAATTGAAATTGACAGAGCAAAATACACGCTTGAAAAATTATGAAGAAAAAACAGTAGGCAACAATAAAAAATGGATAAAACAATACAATTTTGGAAGGGATAATTCGGAAGATGTTATCTGCCAATGGACGACAAATGTAAAATGGAAAATAAATGACAAAACAAAATCGCATTGATTTTAAAATTATTTGAATGTAAATATTTATAAAACAAAGAATTTAATAAAATATGATTTTAGATAATTAAAATGAAAATAAAATAAAAAAGTGAATAAAAAGTGTGTGCATCCATCGCGACAACGCCACCAGGAACATCATGTTTAACGTTGAATCAATACGTCTCTCTCCCTCTATATTGCACACTGACAGTTCTTTAACATTTTTCTAATTTTTTTTATTTAAATTTTATAAATGTGATGAATTCCTCTGGAGCAGCAGTGGCGAAGAGATCATGGGTTGCGAGAGAATTATGGGCCCCTGCGGATGGTAGGTGATGACGGGGCGGGTTGGAAATGAAAAAGATTATGTGTAACTTTTTTTGTAACTTTTAATTCAGCATGAAATATATTAATATTTATATAGCTTTTTGTTATCGGAAAAATCTATTTAATTATTCATCCAGCAATATCAACGCGAATATTCTGATCATTCATTTTGAGTACATATTTCTTAATTAAAACTTGAAGATAAAACAGGGTAACACCAAAAAAATAATTAAACTCGGATTTTGTAACGATTTAAATTTATCTATTACGCCACTATTCGCAACAATGACCAAAACCAAGAAATACTTTTAAATAAATAAATTTTCTACTTAGCAAAAAATATTTTTTTATGATAGTAACAATTGTTTGCGCCAATGAATGATTGGAATGAACTGATAAAATATAAAATAACAAAAAATCATGGTCGTTTCAATTAGTCTTATCGTTTAAAAATTGTGAACGACTGAGTCCCGACAGACGGTTTCATCATCGTAGCATCAAGCACTGCTGTTGGAAATCTCAGATGTGAACGTGGTGGGCCATAATGTTTTGCAAATTGTTAATTTGATAAATTTAAAATTTACTTGAAATATAAGGAGAACCTCAATCAACATTCTCCATCTGGGAGTAAGCAGAAATTTGCCGTTGGTGGACCGAAAATTTTTAAATTGATTGTGAATTTTTTTGGTTGTCAGTTAAATTTGGCAAAATTTTTGCAAATTTATACAACTTTATACAGAAATTTTGTTGAAGTTAGCCTTAACCCTACTAAAAATTTTCATTGTGGAAAGCAACAACCTCAAAGCTCCCTGGTCTCTACGCCTGTGCTTTGTTCTGCATCAATTTGGAAAGATGTGACAAACAATTAACTCTATTCGATTGTCCTGCACCCTTTCAATGGCTCACTGGTTAATCAAAAACTATTATTCACATTTTTGGCAAATATTAGAACTTATAGAGCAAGAAATTTCAACATTGAAAAAGTTTTGTACCATAAAACTCTTCAAATTCAAATAAAAATTGATCTTCCAGTAAAAATTTATTGTTTTTCAGAGGAACGTATCTTTCATAAAAATTTATTTAATTTTAATGTTTAACGCTCCATTATTTGGTCTGTTGTATGTCTGGCTCTCGCCCATCAGATCCATCTTGAATGTTTCAAGATTGCATGTTTACTTTGTTTTATTATTTTACAAATGTTTCTAAAGTTTTATTTATAAAATTACATCAACGCTTCTTCAAAAAAATATACGATGTTAGAGTATGGGAGGTGTACTTGTTATTAGATTCTCATACATTTTCAAATATTTTTTCCATTTTACGTGGAAGGAGAAAGAAATCAATAAGGCGTCACCGGTGCATATTATCCTACTGTCCTTTATTGTGTTATCATGTTAGCGTTCCTTTCATTTAGACGAATTATGCATCAATATCGCGTCTTCGTGAACGTCCAATTACAAAGCTGAATCATTCAAGCCTGTATGTGTGTGTTTACTTCATAGTGTGTCTCTATATCTTTTATTCATTGACGAGGAAATTATATTTTGCTACCTACAGAAGATTTATTGAACGCTGAAAAACTGAATTATGAAAATTATTCAACTTGATAGGCAACGTTGTACAAAGCTGGAAATAATATTTTTCATCATACATTCATACTTGATAAACAATGTCTTCAAATATTCCTTTCCTCTTATTTTTTTACAAACATTTTGCCCAGAACGAGTTAGAACAGAAGAATTATGATTTGATATTTGGAGAAGTTTCAGTTGGGTGTGTCTGGCTATTCAAACGTTCAATCGTCGAACATCCATTGAATGCAGGCGGCAAGGATAATAATGTTTTGTTGCTTAGTTTGCTTGCAAGCAGATAGCGTGTAGGTTATGTGCCAGGGGTCAAAAGTTCAAATCCTGACCAGGTTGTCTTCATTGTGTGCACATAAAATATACATACATAACAATAAATATAAAAAAGTAAAAATATACAATCGTATATATATATATATATATATATTTATATATATATACACACAAATACACTCAGAACCACAAATAAACACTCACACCCAAAAACACACAC